CTCCTTGAAGGTACCTCAATAGACGGATGAGCGAAAACTCTAAACTGAAGACGGTTCCCATGAGGGAATTAGTGTATAGAAGGAGGGTCGTCTATATCCGAATTGTGTTCTCCAGATATGCTCTCGGGGGAGTAGGGGCAGTCCTGTCACCTATCCCAGGACCGCCAACCATCAGGGAGCCCGAAAACGACTGGAACTCCGGTCTTGACCAGTGCGTACGCTGTGTCTGTAGACCAGGGTGCGGGGCTTCCCTATTTCCAACGTCCGAGTAAAGGCAGTGCCTGTACGTTCCATGAAGGCCTCAAATCACATGCTACCCTTGATAATAAAAAATTGCCTGGACAATGTGTCCAAAACGGCGTGTAAAAGCCTAACCAGGGTGTGCTTGCTCGTTCGGCCAACACCAGTTATGCCCAAACCTACACACTTGTAATAGTTAGGGTTCACCCATCAGACATTCAATCTCCCGGATTAAATCCAACAGGGGGTGTATAGGGTACCCATAAAGTGTGGCAACCCTAGGAGCTGTATCGAGGTCGCCAGTTCCAAACAGTCTCTACCCTGTCCAATAATGCATCAGGGGTGCGTGTAAATGAGGTAAGGAATCTCCCTCCAGAATACCATAGTGAGTACATCCCGGGTGGTGATAGAGGCATGGGTCCCGCGAACCAATCCTGGTGGATGCAACAGTGAAAGCTAGGGTAAACATTGACTACCCTGCCTGACCAGGTAGCACCTCTCTAACAAAATACTTGCATAGTTGTAAGATTTAATGGAGGGATACTCTCCTCTCACCCAGTCGCTACTAAGCAGCGTCTCCTCGTTATTTCGACGAGGTAGTCATAGTCTGTAATGCAAGAGCTGTAGTATCCGCGGCAAATCACGTTAAATAACACAGACCTCCGAATTGCGCTGACTTTAGGCAGGACGACCTTTTATGAAGACGCTGGGTCTTGTACTGGTATACGTCCGTAGGATGAAAAAGGGTCAACAGTAGGCTAAATAACCCTGTGGGGTAGTGTCAAGTGCCGTGTTCGTTCTCAAGGAGGGGCAGCAGAATCCAGTACCCTAGAAACTGTCATGCCAGCGGTAATAGTGGAAACACTATAAGTGGTTATCCTGGTCTGTGTCATTAGGGGAGCACAGTAGCGGGTAGAGTGTATGAGAGAGCCGCACTCTCAAATACAGTAAACTGTATCCCTGTCAGAGGGTCGTCTCCTCTAATAGTAATAGGCTCAGGGACTATGGCAGTGCCTGGCTCCGAATATGAGTGTGGGACACACAACCCACCTGCAATTGTCTCCATAATAGCCTCGGGCAGATGTTAGGGGGAGTCGCGCCCTCCAACGGCAATATAGTGACGGGTTCTGTAAAACAGAAATGGTTCCCTCTATTCCTGCACATAAGCTTTCGATTCGGGCCGAAGTCATGAACAGGCCGCACCCTCTTATCATGCAAACCAGAGTCCCTCTCAGTTGCATACTGATAGTAAGTGGGAAGCTCGCCCTCTAAAACTAGATGAGTCAGGCCGATGTGCTGAGAGGCATTCTCCTCTGATCCAGAAATCACTCTCTGCTTCAGGCGCCTGAGAGGTGTACACAATTGGAGATAAAAAATCCTGATAATAGTTGGAGTATACTCCAGCCTGGGGCCGTGTCCCAGAGTCTAATAATGGGGACAGGCCGAGAAAACTGCAATAGTTAGAAAAAAATTATGGAATCTACAGACCGCCGCCTGGATCCCGCGAAAGTGGGCGGAATCCAGAATGGCAGCCGGTAGTCTGGGGAAATGCTGGAGACGTTCTCCGCGATCCAAGAGAGCCCGGGAAGTCGGGGGAGGCCAAGTCAGGCCTCTCGATGACCCGAGCCATAGGAAAAAAGGGGAAGACACGAAAACAAACTACAGGTAAGATGAACAACACGTACCTCGAGGGGGAAGGTAAATGACAGACAGGAAAGGTAGACAGGTAAACCCAACTGAAAGGGCCAGGAACTAAGCATGACGTAGAAAAAACTACCTAGACCCCAAATGGATACTGGATCTGCAGCTAAAAGATTTGTGGCTAAAGTCAAGAAATTACCGTGTTCCCCTGTTGTCGTTTGAACACTGATCCCTGTACATGCATCAGAAAGAAACTCTCAGTCCGGGGATTTACGTAGAAACCTTGCCCCTTGGGCATGCGGTTATGGGCCTTCACCCTTCCAAGCATACTTAGGTGTACCTATACTGGTGTCACCTCAATAGTATGGTAGCAGTGTTTACCCGGACACCCTCCCATCTCTGTGTCAATAGTGGGTAAGTTGGCATTCCTCAGTAATATTCTCTCAGGCCTGCAGCCAAAAGAGGGTCCGGGTACCGACCAAGGTCGGAGCGGGTCGGTCAAAAGGCACAGACATAGCAGGCCAATCAATGGGGCACAGACATAGCAGGCCAATCAATGGGGCACAGACGTGGCAGGCCAATCAATGGGGTACAGACATAGCAGGTCCATCACAGGTGTTGTGTTCTGACAACCGCAGGGGATCAGTCTGTGTGGTTAAGAGTACTAAATAGGAATCTGGTATTTCCCAAACGCCCTGTAGGCACTGGTCACTGGTGTATCCAGGCTGCAATTCCAGTTCAGTGCAGGCAATGCGGCACAGACAGAGCAGGCCAAGTCACTTATAAATGTACATGGTAGCACTAAGGGTCACTGTATTGAAGGATTCCCTTCTGTAAATATAGGTCCAGGGTTTAAGAAACAGATGTAAGCTTCTGATATAGGGATATGCAGGGTTCAGGCTCCCCTGGAAAATGTGTATGATGTTTGGTGTAATACACTGTGGGGCACCCCCAACTGCCACCAATGAATAACTACATGAGAAATAATGTATATATAAATGAACTGAAGGCCGGTGTTAGGGTTAGGTAAGTGCTTCTAACCTCTCTCACACTCTATTCTTACCCTAACCCTTGGGGTAAGGGTTAAAATAAAGTGTGAGAAAGCACTATTTAGTGATATTCCCCTAATGTGAAATATCACTAAATATGAACAAGTCCCTAATCCTAACCCTAATTTAGGGTTCAAATTAGGGTTAGGATTAGAGACTCTAAATGTCCCATGTGCACTAACTATAATGAAAGTGTAAAACTAGTTTTACTTACCTTCCAGGACCTTGCTGTGGAGGAGTAGCAGGAGTGCTAGCACGCATGTGCAGCACAGGATCCAGCTGATTCCCCTCCCCGGAAGGGACGGGGGTATAGCAATCTGACGGAGTATAGCAGAATGATAGAACACCGGTGAAACCCAAGCCTGATGCGGGGGGGAGGGACTGCTCCCAGACCGCCAGCTATAAAAAGGGCCTCAGGCCGCGGTCTAAAATGACTCCTGGCTCCCCGATGGGGAGAACAAGCCTCCCACGGCTTTCCGGCACTAATTTAACAGGTGGGGAAGTGGCCATGTGTGATTGCTCCCTCCTCCACCCGATGGACACACACGGTCCGCGGATCAAGCTGGTTGTGGCCGGTGGCCACGTGTGGAGGCTCCAGTCGGCGGGCGCTGATCGATATCGTGGCACTCCGCGACCGGAGCTAAAAACACACATGGGTCTGCTGGATGTGGACGGGGGGGACGGAGGATGCAGAGCAGGCCAGCCTCCAGAAACTCCTGAGCGGCAAAAAGCGCCTGCAAAGGCAAAAACAGGAAAGTAACAGATGGGCAATATACATAATAATAAGGGGACAGAACAGGGGGGAGAGTCCCAGAAGATATAAAGTAGCCAGAGTGAAAACAAAACTCCCCACCAAGCCCAGTGCAATAGAAGGCAGTGGAGCATAAGCTAGTTATACAAAACAAGTTCCCAAATAATTAAACATGTAAAACACTGAAATATAAATAAATCCCAAAGCCACCCACTAGAAGCAGGTTACAGTGGTACTCTGACCTGTACTGACTGCAGAGCAGCAAAGAAAGAGGAAATTATTTATGGGGAGGGGAGTTTTATAGTACCTAACTTTTTTCTGATTGGTTGTTTTTCTGTGCTGCTGTGGAGTTCTAGTAAAGAGAGACTTAAGCAAATACGAAGCCTCCTGTCATGTTATAAAATTCGCTTGCGCTGTGCAGAACAAATAGTCTTTTTTTCTCATGCTAGAGCTCTTCAATAGAGCTCTGCGCATGGTCTGCCCTGGAAGAGCATTGAACCAACATGCTCATTGGTGATGACAAAACACATCCTTTCTGATCCCTCCCCCTTTTTAGTGGGCTGCTGTAATTAAAATATGACAACCAGCTTCTTTCTTGGTACAAACAGCAATTGCCTTTATTTTCACTTCACATCAATATACAAACTATATTTCCCTTCCCCCATTTGCAAGTCCACCCTGACAACAAAAGCATACTTGGATTGGCCAGGCAGATATCTCAGTATAGGGGGAGGCTCTGCATCTTGTGCCATGTGACACATTAAAGTCTCTTTTTGTCACATGTCCCCCCCCAAAGAAAGTCCTGCTGCCAGGCTGGGACCCTACTGCCCAGGTCACAGGCTGCAGGAGGACAGACAGTCTCCTAGACAGTCCATCAGCATTGCCATGTGACTGACCTTTGCGATATTTGATGGTAAAATTGTACTGCTCAAGTGCCAAGCTCCACCTCAGCAGTTGCCCATTGTCACCTGCCACTCGGTTTAGCCAGCAGAGGGGATTATGGTCTGTTACCACCGTGAACTCCCTGCTATGGAGATAGGTTTTTAGCTTCATGAGAGCCCAGACTACAGCAAGGCACTCTTTCTCTATGGCCCCATAGCTGACCTCTCGATCTAGCAGCATTCGACTGAGAAAAGCTACTGGATGCTCTTCCCCTGATCATCCACCTGACTTAAGACTGCCCCGATGCCATATGTAGAGGCATCTGTTTGCACAATAAATCGCTTGTTGTAATTCGGGGCAGCCAACACCTTAACTTAAACTCTCTTTCAGCTGGCAAAAGTCAGACTCGCACTCCGGCGTCCATGCCACTACTCTGGCTTCCTTTTTCCTTGTCAAGTCTGTCAGGGGCTTTACAATGGGGCACAAACTTCCTATAATACCCCGCAGGCCAGCACCTGCTTCTTGGTTTGAGTCACGGGACAATGACGGATGGCCTCTGTAACAGCACCCCGGGCATAAAAGGGTTAAACCGCCATTTAGTAGATCTTCCCCTTCCAGAGACACAGGCACAGCTACTGCAGAACACCAATCCACCGAACAGGAAACCATATGAATGCCGTAAACAGCCGAATAGGAAAAACCATACGAATAGGTTTACACTCCTAGCAGTCGAACTGGAACAGTATACAATAAATCACCCCCAAGAACGAGACAAGGCTCTGTTTTGAGGGTCAAGCAGTGAACAGTCAGAGCTGTGGGTTTATTGTTCTTATATACACATTAGTACCACCCACAGGGTTTTGGAACACAACCAATAAACACATACAATACACTCAGACACTCCCACACAAAATCCTCCCCTCTGCCTGTGATTCAATTACCTTACACAATGGGTAATGTAATTATAACAAGCAGAGAAATAAAATTTTTATAATCCAGATTATTCATAACTTGAAAGGTATTCACATAATTTTCAGAATCAGCATACTCCAAATACAAACATATGTCAAAATGATCCAAATTGGTCCAGTGGTTCACAAGATAGATCATAGTCCTTTGTGACCAAAGGAAGCATGGCTTTTCTGCCCAAAACCAGTTCCACAAAGTCTTCTACCCTCTAAAAACATATAACTGTGCAGCCATTGCACAAAACAGGTACATTCAACATATTCCCAGATAGCTCAGATCTGAGCGCACATTATCACTGAATGGTGCTCAGAGCACACACATACAGTTCAATTGCCATGGAGCCAAAGTCTTTCCTATAGTCTTTCATTATACGAATGGGCTCCATGGCATAGCTATCTGAGGTATCAACGCTCAAACAGGGCAAGAATCAAATGACCCGGCTTTCATGGCTTTGCAGGGGAAAATCAAGCCTTTTAACATGGGGCCATAATCCAAAGGCAACAGGTGAGCAACCAGGCTTCTCCAATGCAATGTGGCGAGATTGGTCTCGTCACATCTCTCCCCTTTTCCAAACAGACTAACAGGGTATCTGACCTCCTGCCAGTCAGTGCCCTTGTTAGTCCAGCAGCCCACCCACAACACACAAACAGTAATACAGCCCACCCACAATAAATGGTTACTACACCTGGGTAGAGGAGAACTTTGTCCATGTCCAGGTGCCTTACCACGGCTGTGTGGGTGACTGGTAAGCTGCCTTAGTGGGTTGCTGAGTGGGCAGAGACCAGCGGTACTCTGCCCTGGTGCCAGTGCTACCACGGGAGTAGCCTGGTTGTTGGAGGGGCAGAACCGACCGTCCCTACCCCCTGTGCTGTAAGTGCAGAGACCACGGTCCCATCTGCACGGTTGTGGGGTTTACTGTCCCCCCCCCGGTACGTTAAGCTGCTGCTGGGTAGAGGGGGTAACAAGCTCCTCTCTCATATATACTTCCAGCCGCAGGGAGGGAGACCAACTGTCTCTGCTCCCAATACAGAGTCCTGCTGCTGGGGAAAGGAGACTGGGCTCTCTATTCCCTGTAGGACACTCTGCCGCTGGGGAATGGAGACTGGGCTCCCAATTCCCAATGACTCATACTGCCGCTGGGGAATGGAGACGGGGCTCCCAATTCCCTGTAATTCACACTGCCGCTGGGGATCTGAGCCGACTGCCCAGTATCCCTGTAGCTCACCCTGCCACTGGGGAGGGAGGACGCTGCTCTCCTCTCCCTGCAAGGTACACTGCCGCTGGGGGACAGGACCAACTATCTCTGTCCCCTGTATCTCAGCCTGCCGCTGGGGAATGGAGCTTGGGCTCCCAATTCCCTGCAATTCACTCTGCTGCTGGGGGACAGAAGCAACTATCTCTGTCCCCTGTAACTCAGCCTGCCGCTGGGGAATGGAGCTTGGGCTCCCAATTCCCTGCAATATCTTCCGCTGGGGAATGGAGACTGGGCTCCCAATTCCCTGCAGGACCGGTGGAGAGACCTCGGTCCCATCTCCACCAGCCACCTGGGGTTCTTCCCAGTAACATTCTGCAATATCTGCCCAGCTGAATGGGTCTGGATCTGGGTCTCCGCTTCCCTGCTGAGCCTTGTCACTGGAGTGGAACAGATCTTGGTATCCCTGCTCCAGCTCCATCTCTCGGGTCACTAGGTGGACCAGGTCTTGCTCAATCTCATGAGTGTCGTCCCAGTCATACCTGCTCTCCCTCCACTCCAAGAGATCACTGAACCGAGTTTGTGTAGAGCTCCCAAACTCAGGCTCTGAAAAAGCCTCCCATAACAAACCAGGACCATCAAACTCCTCTCCCTCTGGCTTGTCATGCTCGGCTGTCCAGGGCAGGTACTGTGCCCCATACCACCAGAGCGCCTGGTAGGCATCTTCCAGCCAAATCTCCTGCCATACCCGGAGCTCCAATTCCTTCACCCTTTCCTCCAGGGGCTGCTCTCCCAGGAAGGGCATCTGCAGGGCTAGTCGCTTCTGCAATCGCTGGTCTTCCTTGGGGAGTCTCTCGCCCCGCTGGTACTCCACAATGCCCAGTGCCTGGTACCAGATGCCTTTGCGAACTGCATCTCGGTCATCCATGACCCTCATCGTACTCCACTGCTGGTTCCATCCTGATGCTGTCAGGGTCACTGTACTCAGACATGCGTTGCCCTCAATTTGTAAAATCCAAAGAAATGGTGTCTCCTGTAGCTGTCCTTCTGGCTGTAGCCACCAATTGTAACAGCACCCCGAGCATAAAAGGGTTAAACCGCCGTTTAGTAGATCTTCCCCTTCCAGAGACACAGGCACAGCTACTGCAGAACACCAATTCGCCTAACAGGAAACCATATGAATGCCGTAAATAGCCGAATAGGAAAAACCATAGGAATAGGTTTACACTCCTAGCAGTCGAACTGGAACAGCATACAATAAATCACCCCCAAGAACGAGACAAGGCTCTGTTTTGAGGGTCAAGCAGTGAACAGTCAGAGCTGTGGGTTTATTGTTCTTATATACACATTAGTACCCCCCACAGGGTTTTGGAACACAACCAATAAACACATACAATACACTCAGACACTCCCACACAAAATCCTCCCCTCTGCCTGTGATTCAATTACCTTACACAATGGGTAATGTAATTATAACAAGCAGAGAAATACAATTTTTCCACATTATTCATAACTTGAAAAGTATGCATCACATTCACAAACTTACATTTTCAGAATCAGCATACTACAAATACAAACATATGTCAAAATCATCCAGATTGGTCCAGTGGTTCACAAGATTGATCATAGTCCTTTGTGACCAAAGGAAGCATGGCTTTTCTGCCCAAAACCAGTTCCACAGAGTTTGGAAATAATTGGGAAGTAATCCAATTATCTCCAAGGACAGAGGCAAAACTCCATTGAAAACATGGCAGCAAAAGACAATAAAACACATATAAACATATAACTGTGCAGCATTGCACAAAACAGGTACATTCAACATATCCACAGATAGCTCAGATCTGAGCGCACATTATTACTGAATGGTGCTCAGAGCACACACATACAGTTCAATTGCCATGGAGCCAAAGTCTTTCCCATAGTCTTTCATTATACGAATGGGCTCCGTGGCATAGCTATCTGGAGTATCACCGCTCAAACAGGGCAAGCACCAAATGACCTGGCTTTCATGTCTTTGCAGGGGAAAATCAAGCCTTTTAACATGGGGCCATAATCCAAAGGCAACAGGCGAGCAACCAGGCTTCTCCAATGCAATGTGGCGAGATTGGTCTCGTCACAGCCTCTTCCTTGACGGGGTCTGGCTTCACCTACCCTCCCCCCACCCAGTGACCTAAATATTGGACCTCCCCCTATGGCAAAGCTGCATTTGTCGGGTTTTATTGTCAGCCCTGCTTTCCCTATCTGGTCGAGAACCAACGCTACTTGCTGTAAGTGACCCAGCCATGATGCACTAAATATAGAAATATCGTCCAGGTATGCACATGGAAAATCGTGGCATCCCCAGAGGAGCTGGTCAACTAACCACTGGAAGGTGGCAGGAGCGTTCTTCATGCCGAACAGCATTACGGAAAACTGGTAAGTTCAAACGGAGGGATGAAGGCTCATTTCTGTTCCTTTGAGCCCCTTCTCCTACTTTACCTTTTGTGCTCCTTGCTGTCCCTTCCAGCTCCTTGCTTCCCTTTCTGCTCCTTGCTGTCCCTTCCTTGCTTCTCCTTTCTGCTCCTTCTCTTACTTTACCTTCCTGCTCCTTGCTGACCCTTCCTGTAGGCTGCCTCCCCCCATCCCTCACTTACCTGATGTGTAGGTGAATCCCCCCATTCTCTAACTGTAGGTGGATCCCCCATCTCTCACTTACCTGATCTATAGGCTGTAAACCCCCCCATCCTTCACTTCCCTGATCTCTAGGCTGTCTCTCCCCTCCTCCCTCACTTCTCTGATCTAGAGACTGCCCCCCATGCCTCACCTCCCTGATCTATAGGCGGCCCCCATGCCTCACTTCCCTGATCTATAAACTGTCCCCATGCCTCACTTCCCTGCTCTATAGGCTGGCCCCCCATGCCTCACTTCTCTGATCTATAGGCTGCCCCCATGCCTCACTTCCCTGATCTATAGGCTGCCCCCCAATGCCTCACTTCACTGATCTACAGGCTGCCCCCCCATGCCTCACTCCTCTGATCTATAGGTATCCCCCATGCCTCACTTACCTGATCTGTAGGCTGCCACTGCAGGCTGGGAGTTGCTGTATGCACTCTGTGCTGCTCCTCTGCGGATTCAGTCAGGAGAGAGAAGGTGGGATAAGATGTAGCTTCCTATCCCTGTCTCTCTCCATACACAGCTCCACGGTATTGCACTGTATTTTCAATCTCGCACGAAAAATAGCAGAACAAGCTGCCCCCTCTAGCCCCCCTGCCCCCCTATTCCCCCCACCCCCCGCAGACACCAATGTTCAAGGATATAATTTATATATCTCAGGGGTCATTGATCCAAAGGGAAATCTGATAGCCATTACAAAGTCAAGAAGGAATCCTCTCACCCCCCCACTCCACCCTTTTTTTGTGGCATATGTGGAATTTGCTAGAGTTTTTGTGCCTTCTTTTGGTTCAACAGCATAAATTAATGGGTTTTAAAGGTTGAAACTGATGAGCCATATAATCTTTTTGTCAACCCAGATTACAGTGTAACTATGTAATTTTGGATTAGTATGAGGTCAAGTTTCAAAGTGCATTTGTGGTTTAGCCACCCCTAACAAAACTTTTGAACTACTCAGTATATATGCACAGTCGAAAAAAAATCTTTAAATAGTTTTTAAAAAAATCTTAGTTTCTTGATTAGACAAAAAAATGAACGACTTTCACTCTCCACTGCAGAAATGGTGCAAGAGTCCCTTTAGCATGTCTCCAACTAACATAGATAGAAAAATAAATGTTTGAAACCAAGAGTGCAGGATTATCCCACTGTGACAGACCCATCTGTCTGGATTATAAATGCTGTGTTCGCCTGTTTTGCCGGTTACATGAATTTCCCCATTCGTATGCTTTATTCAAGGGAATGTCGGTTTTTGTCGAACGGAACTACCGAACGGATGGCCACCCAGAAGAGAAGTGTGCTGCTGGTTAACCTATTGATCCCAATTAGAACGTTGCGGTTAACCACAGACACTTCTCAATTAAAACCGAATGCCGGGTGGTCGTCGTTCGTATGTCGACCACGAGGCGGCGGCCATTTTGTCCATGCGAACGACCAGCGGTGTTCGATTATTTCATGGATCGGAAAACGGACACTTTTTCAGCCGAACACCGCTGAAGCCGTCGACCTCCCCTTCTCAATCGACAAAAGCATATGAATGCCAGCCGTTCGGGAGATTCAACCACACGAATGGACTTAACCCAGATAGCCGTCCCATGGAGTCAATCACATACCGACGAACTGAAAGAGACTTTGACTCCATGGCGATTGAACTGTGCGAATGGGATCTGAGCGCTATTCTTCAATAATGTGCCCTCAGATCCAGGCTATCTGGGGATATGCAATACGAATGTAATATGTTCGGCAGTTATGAAGTTATGGATTTTCATGTGTTTTTGTGACTTGTGTTTAAAATGGCGATTGCCTCTGCTCGGGGAGATAATTGAGTTACTTCCCAATTATCCCTCGAGCAGAGGGGAGGAAACTGTGATGCATGCTGGGAATATTGTGGGGATGTATGTCCAAAATGTCCCCATGTCCCTCTGTGATTTCAGTCTCCCATTTGGTCCCCTAGGGGAGTGTCCACCAAGTGGGAGACCTGCATAAATACCGGGCAGGTAGCCCACAGTAAATCAGTTCGTGTTTTACCCTCAAAGCGGAGCTTGGTCTCGTTATTGGGGGGATTTGGATACCAGCGGCGAGAGACTGCTTATTTGGATTATTTGCCGCTTGGGAGATATTGTCGTTCGGTTACTAATTGCCGTTCGTGGATTTGCAGCTCGTGAAGGGAATTAGCCGTACAGGTACCGTTCGGGAGTTTGGAGTGTTCCCTGACTGGCGGTTCGCATGGTTTTATTATACCCGCTACCCGACCACATTATTGCGAACAGGGAATACTCGCTAAACGGCGGTTTGTACATTTCAGTACTGGAGGTACCGTAACACCCACATTTAAAAAAAAATATTTTTTACATTTCTAAACTCAAATTACTTTGAGGGAATATAACAAGTGTGACTTAATTGAAACAATTGCAAAAAATTACTAGTTCAAATTATGTCATGAGTATAAAGTCTGAATGTAGAGGAGGTCCTTATTTATTGAAATTATAAAGAAGGTATTTGCCAGCGGGCCTGGTGTTAGCCTCGCTTCTTATAAAAACCAAAGATATTTATACTTTTTTATTTTATTATTAATTTCACCTCCTCTCAGCCCCTTTCAAACACAGAATATAGGCCTCAATACGCCTCAACACATTCACATGCTGCACCCCTCACAAACATTGGATCACCTATAGACACATTTCACCTCACACAGACAACATCCTGTCACACACAAAACGTCCCTGACACACTGTACATCCCTATCACACACACCACATCTCAGTAACACATAGAACATCCATGTCACACATACAACTTACCTGGCCCAAACAGTACATCACTGACATAGGCGTGCACACGGGGTGTGCCTAGTGTGCCTGGGCACACCCTAATCCCCGCGGCCCACGCTATGTGCCTCCCTCAGTGGGACGGTGAGGGAGATCAAAGATCTAAGATCTCCCTTACTGACCCACAGGCAGGGAGGGAGGCAGGAGAGGACCCGGGGAGATCTTGCCAGCAGCTCCGTTGGGTTCCTCTCGCAAGATCAGATCTTGCGAGAGTAAATTCTAGCCCCGCATGCTAGAGTTCACTCACCACTGGACCACCGG